TGCCTAGGAGGGTGCGGGTGATGAGCAAGGCCAAGTGTCGGTGGACTAGGTACTAGAAACGCTGCTCGGAAGTTTGCTATTTGTCCTAGGAAACAATTGTCCAGGTGTACTCTTTGCATATCTTTTGGCATTAAGTTAGATATAGTGTACTATCATGGATTTTAGTGCTGTGAACACATCCACCATGTGCCCCTCCCAAAGTGTACCACCATTAAACATTAAGACTTCATGTACAGTGGTTGGAAAGCCCAAAACCCCTAGTTAATGCAAAACATCCGGACAATTTTTTTCGTCACTGTAAATTGAAGCCGAGTCCCGTGGTGACGAGAACCTTGTTGAGGTGAAGTGAGACTTCTGTATCGTCGGACTTGAGTATCACTTCTCCAGTTCTGGTTGCTTCAATAACTTGATTGTTGGCAACCGCGATGTTGCATTTCTCTCGTTGTGGCAGGAGAGCCAGTTGAGGAGATATTGACTTGAAGATGGCATGTGGTGACCGCAGCAGCTGTCAAGAAACCAAGTGTTAACATGCTCGGAATACGTACGTTTGGCGATGTGGGCGTACGGCTGCACGTTCAACTGTCAAGGAAACCCATACGGCTGCTCTGGCTCTTCTTCGTTAACGACTTCTGGTTCTTGAGTTTCGGAACGAGGACGAAGACGTGGAGGTGGGTTGGCTGCTCCTTCTTCCATGTCACTGTCGCCGTCATTGTCTCGTCGACTCCAGTAGCGTATACCACTTGACCAGTATGGTCCAATCATGCAATTAATAATTGCCTTTCCTTTTGCAGGCTGAGTTGAAGAAGCTGAAGGTGGCAAGATAGTCTTGACAAGGGCGGCTTCACCCGACTTCTCCTGATTCCTGTTCTTCAGTTTCTGACACTCTTCAATACTATGACCTGATCGTTTGCAGAACCTGCTGAAGCCCTTTCCTCCTTTTCTTGTTGCTCCCACTAACTTGATGCACCTCTTGTCTGCTCCCCGTGACTTGGTCCACCTGTATAGAAGCTTAACCCACTCTTGGCTTTGCCTCCTTTTGCGTTGTACATGTCCAAGTCTTGCTGCTCTGCCATCAGAGTGGCGCAAAGCAAGGTTTATGAGATGTTTCCTTAGGAACGAAGAAGGAACTTGCACTGCCTCCATTCAGGTCCAAGTCCAGCCGGAAGGATGGTGATGAAGAGCTCGTTACTGAGATTTCCTCTGCACTTGCTGAGCTGATCCCCAAGGGTTCTGCGCCTGTTGATGTTGCTGTCGGTTTTTTCTCCCGTAACCATTTGCATTGCTGTAAGTTGACTTAACAGCTTGCTCTGTGTGACGGAATCTTGTGCTTAATATAACTTGCACAGGTATTCCCAAGCGCAAAAGGCTGGAGCAAGTGAAGGTTTGAAGCACTGAACTCCCAACTGCTTTTCAGGTTAGAGATTCCGCACCAGTAATGTCAAGGCCATAAGTAAATACATGTAGTAACGCGCCTGTTCTTGGTCGTTCCTACCTCTGGATAAAGGATTGATCCGTCGAAAAATCCCCAGATACCAGAGGATTGCGCGAGGAGTTCGAACTCGAATCCCCAAGTATAGAAGTCGCTGCCATCAAAGTAAGTTGAGGTCTTCAGCTTGGAGATAGTTAAGGAATCTGCTTGATTTACGACAAATTCTACAGCGAATGGTCTTCCTTCTAACATTTGATGTTGTTGCTGCTGTGGTTGTTGTTGATGTGGTTTAGCAGGTCGCCCATGGAAGGCAAAAGAACCAGCAGATTCATGCTAGGGGCTGAAGGCCCAGCGACAACAACAGCTCTTGCATAACTTGAGTTATTAAGGCTCATATAAGCTGTAGGATGCGCTGGAGCTTGTATTTGTTGCTGCATAGATTGATTAGCGATCAACGAAGCGAAGGCAGATAGATCATCAGTAGAAGGACCAAAAGTAGGAGAATTCGTAGTTGAATTTCCTGTCTTGGCGGCTGACATAATTATAGATCTATGACTTTAGCTTAAGGGAGTAATCAAAATCAGCTTGTATCAGTTCCTGTAACTCCACTACCTTAGAATACTATGTAGAAATGAACCACTTGTTTAGGGTGGCCAGGAACTAAGCTGGTGGAATCACGTGTAAAAGTCAGCGGAAGACTTTGTTGTAATAAATTCGTACTTAAGCATTTCTGTAAGTCGTTCTGATAGATATTGTCGAGTTATACTGTAGTTAGCATCCGTAGAATAGCGTCAGCAAATAGCGCTCGTCTGTAGATTCTATACTGAGTCTTTTGCAACGTTTTACAATTTCTTACATGGTATGAGAGCTATCTGGAATTAAGACCATCGTTAACTCTACAAAAGACTGGACCATTATCGGCTCCAACAGCTGGTGCCTCAACAACTGGACCTACGGGAATTACAAATCCTACAATGTTTATAGGCCAAGCAGGTCATTCTGCAGCTGGAAATTTTCCACCTGCATATGCTTTCAATTGGGATGCCTCAACAGCATCAAGGGTTGCCTATTGTGCATCCACTAGGGACTTCGTCCTCCGCGCCTGCAACACCATAACTTGCATCACAGCAACAAGTAGCATCGTCAGTAACAGCGGCTTTTAGTGGTATGAGTCTTGATGGCTCAACTTATGCAAGAGTTGCAGCTGCCCCAAGCTCCAGTTCTTCGTTTGCGTTTACACCTGCAAAACATCAACAGTTACATTTTATGCAACAGCAACAACAAGCGCAACAATGGTTTCAGGTGCAACAACAACAGCCACAACAGTTTCCACAGCAATCTTAACTTCAACCACAGCAAGAGCAATTTTCGCAACAACAGATCGGTATTACTGGACTAGTATTTCAATCTCCAAATCTCTTGAGTAACACACAGATCAAGATGACAATACCTTTTAATGGCACTGACTTCTACTCCTGGAGTTTCGAATTCGAGCTCCTCGCGAAATCCGCTAGATTACGGCATTTCTTCAACGGCGATTATTCGTATCCTATCAGGGGAACACAGATGGAGCACCAACGTTTTCTTCATGCTTCACTCAGCGCCTATACAGTTCTCATCCGCAATCTGCCGCTGAAAGAGTAGTTCGGGATACACTCTCTTCACACCAGCTTGACTCCAGCTGAATCTGCATGGAAGCATTTGAAGGGGCTGTACATGGCACAAGATACCATTTCTGTGAGTAAGATTCTCTCTCAACTAATAACTGTGCAGATGCAGGGCAACGAAAACGTTTCGGACTACATCAATAGGGCTCACACACTTCGCGACCAATAGGAAAAATGTGGTAGATACTTCCCAAAGGACATGTTTGTAACAGTTCTTCTTGCCGGCCTTGGACCAGAATGCGGCAGTGTCGATCTCTTCTTCACATTCAATCAAATCTTTCAAAAGCCGAAAATTGTTTGATTCTTTAAGCAGAGCAGCAAGATCTGCAAACAGCACATAACAAAAAGGGGACAGTTCATGTCAGTTTCTATTCAACACCTACAAAATGCATCAACAAGTTTTTATGCCACAATTGCAAAAGGGATGGACACAACATCAAATACCGCAACAAACTTCAAGCTGATAAGAAAAGAGGAGTGCAGCAGCCGTCGCAGCAGTATAAGCAATCCGTGAAGCAGAATCCACCAGCAACAACTTCTGCTACATCAGGAAAACAAGTCTTCAGTTGTGTTACTACAGTTCATGCACTTGATTCAGATTTTGACAATGACGAAGAAACTAGCTCAGTTGAACAACATGAGAATATGGTCTTACCTCAGGTTTACGCTTATCTTGCTCAGATTATTGCAGAACCCAACACTAGGTATCTCGATAGCTCTTGTGGTCAACACATGTGCTCTTCCGAGAAGCTTTTCATTCCTCATCAGCGTCCTCTTCGACATCGTGTACCTGTCACAGTCGCAAATGAACAAACCATTATGGCACGATCGATCGGCAGTGCGATGCTGGAATCTATTAACACTAGCTTTTCTTTACACGTTACACACGTCCTCATTGTCGCTGGACTTGGCTTCAATCTTCTTTCAACGGCTCAGCTCTTGCGACAAAAGATCACGACACAAGGCAATTGTGAAACTATGGCCCAGGAACTTTATCAGAATGAGACAAATACTTACATCGGGAGAGCTGCCACGCAGTATGGCGTCTCCGTTCTTCAATTCGAAGCACAATGAACTTCGTGTGATTCCGAAAAAATTACTTTCTCTTGGACCTTGGCAACATCCTGAAGAAACTGATTATCAAAAGGTTGAAGTGGACTTCTATGCAACTACAGTTCCAGCAACCTCTCGTACAGCAACTGCAATTATCACAGCTCTTGATTCGTGGCAAACAAATACAGCCGACGAAGATACATCAACATGGCAGAACTATTCTACTACTTTAGCACAACTCACCAACAAACCTGAAGTACCTTGGGGGCCAAGCAGCAGTAGCAGTAAGCAGAAGCAACTGAGCAGCAGAGTAGCAGTGAAGCAGAAACAGGGGTTCTCATCGGACAACCTGTATCACATACAACAGAAACAAAAATCGAAGAAGGAAAATTAAATCTGGAACCAGAAGAAATTCTCCATGTGGAGGTTAAAACTACTATGCTACCTCTTACTTGCTTCGTTCCTGGACAACTCGAAGAATCTCCAGAGCTTTCTCCTTTCATCATTTCTTATTTTTATACTAATGCTGATTTTTATCTGCCATCAATAGGACACAAAGCAACAGAGGACATATTGTTGTGTGATGTTATCATATGCTATCACATTCTGTCTGCCTCTCATCCCTTGTTTCAATTCGCATGTATGGTTTGATTGTGTGTGAAAGAATTTGTGTCGTGTGTGTTCTGGAGTTTGGGAATGTGTTTTGTGTTATTCTGTCTGAGCAGGTATTTGTGATGATAGATCTTGAGAAGATCTTTCCGACGCAACAAGAATCGCTTCAATCGGAGCAAGAACGCGAAAGCTATGAAGATTCAAAGTTCATGAGCTTGCGTTACAATTGCGGCGGTTACAAAGTGAAGTTGTGGGGTGACTCTATATGGAATTGGGACCTTTGGGGTTGGGGAAATTTGTCACTCTACTGTAACAGCTGCAAATTGGTTGGGAACAACCAAGCTTGGTTGGCAAGGGTGGCCAACTTGGTTGGATTGGTTGGGAAGGGACAAATGTCAAAGTTGGGGTTCCTATAGGGAGGGAATCTTTGTGCTTATGGGGTTTCCTTGGTTGGGGACTCTCTTGGAACCTTCCCTCTCATCCCTCTCTTCCATCCCAACCTTTCTCTTGCTCCTATAAGTCCTTGAGAGATTCTTCAACTTTGATTGAACTTTTGAGATTGAGTTAAGTTCTCCTCCTACAGCTTACCCCCTAATGCGTCGAAAGCCATAGCGTCGCGAATGCTTCATCAATCAACGTGATTCAAATCGGGAACAGTAGCCGAGATTAAGAGCTACAACATATCCAAGTTTCGCAACATTCCAACTGCTAGGTTTTTGTCGACAACGTTTCTTGTGAAGACGACTTTTCTGTCCAGAATTTCGGATTTATTTTTTGAGTAATTCTAGCTCCTAAACACACCTAGACTCCGTCCTTAATCCTAACAAGTGGTATCAGAGCGATATTAAGGACATTAAGAGGAGTCTACAGAAGTTTGAAGACCCTTCTAGACCCACCATGGTCTGTGGGTGTGCCTAAGTGGTGTTCTAAAGGTTGGATGTGTCTTCCGCTAAGGGGAAACTCTGCCGAAATTTCGTGGACGCCGACACTTGTGAAAATATCAAGGGAGCTGAGTGTGGACAGCAAAGGGGAGCTGAAATTCGTCATTTCTCAAGGAGAAGATGAATGAGAGAGGAGGAGATGCTAATGGAAGAGGAGCTGTACCTGAGAAGACAAGTGAGCCGCCACCATCAAAAGTTGAAGCTTTGGATGGCTCCAACTATGAGGAATGGAGCGGGCGGATGAGGAGTGCCTTCAAACGCTACAAGCTACTGAAGATTGCTGTTGGGGAGGAGAAGATGCCGGAAGAAGGCGAAGCACGTGAACGGTGGATTGAGAAAAGCACGGTGCTTTTCCACCTCATCCTTCAATCGATCAACAAGGAGATGTTCGAGCACATCAAGGATCTTGTGGAAGCGGATGATTCGGGTCCAAGGGCGTGGAAACTACTACGCGATGTGATTCAGCCCAACACTCTTCCAATGGTGATCGTGCTCGAGAAGGAACTTGCTGCCATCTCCATGCAACCAGGGGACGATGTGAAGCCGGTCCTTGACAAGATCAAGGACACCTATGCAAGGATGGCAGCAGCGGGCAGCAGTGTATCTCAGCTGCAGCAGTGCACCAAGATCATCTCGGTGTTGGACAACTCTTGGGACAACCTCATCCCCACCCTCAACTCTCAGCAAGATCAATGGACACCTGAGTGGCTAAGGCAGTAGATTCTGCAGGAGGACTTCCGCAGACGCCATGTGGGAGGTGGTGCCTCCACTAAGACTGCTGAGGGGTATGGAGCTGCAGGGCGCGGCAGAGGAAGAGGGGGTTGGAGAGGCCGAGGCCGTGGGAGGAGCTTTGGCAGAGGTAGAGGCCGAGGTGACTATAATGAGGGGCATGGGAGCTCCAGTGGCAGGGGGAGTACCAAAATGGAGGGCACCTGCTGGTACTGCAAGAAGGTCGGGCATCCTTGGTTCAAGTGCTTCAGCAGGCTGGAGAGATGGGCACCTCTAGGCATGAAGCCGCCCAGTGGTGAACGCGCACAAGGTGGCGCTGTGCAAGGCTCAGGTGCACAAGGTGAAGGTGCACAAGGCAATACCTATCCTGTGATGTTTCTCATGGTTGAGGATGTGCATGGGCATGAGAGTGATGTGGGATCTGTGGGAAAGGTTGTGATGCACCCTCTCACGCACTGGGTGATTGATTCGGGTTGCACCAGTCACATGACCCCACGGGCAGATTTGCTTGATGAGGTAAAACCCTCTGGGAAGATTAAGTATGTGGCAGCAGCGTCAGGTGCTTTGCTCCCTGTGATTGGTGTTGGAAATGCCAAGGTTAAGGGAGCTAATGGGGAGCTTGTGGGGCTTGGGAATGTTCTGTTAGTTGAAGGTTTGTCTGCTAACCTTCTCTCTGTGCGACGACTGCAGAAGAGCAAGGCCGAAGTGACCTTTGGACCAACCAGCTGCCGTGCTAAGCTTGGGAAGAAGGTGTTGTGGAGTCTGGAAGAGGAGACCAGCTGCATCAAGGACCTGTGGCAGCTGCCCATCATCCCTTGGAATGGGAAGGCTCCAACAGCAGCAACGGCAGCAGCAGCAAAGGCAACAGCTGGAGGAGATGCAACTGCACCAACTGATGGGGTCCTGGAAGCAGTCAAGAAAGCGCAGCAGCAGCAGATACATGGTGAGGTGCTTGCTGGTGTGGATGCGAGTGCGGCATGGGCTAAGGCTTCATTAAGGAGTGGAGAGGCCGATTGGGAGACATGGCATGAGAGGCTGTGTCATGTGAACTTCCCTATGCTGCAGAAGTTGGTGAAGGATGGGAGCCTGAAGGGATTGGAGGTGAAAGGGGGAGTGAAGGAGATTGGGAGCTGCCCTACATGCTTGGAGACCAAGTTCTCCAAGTTCCCCTTCAACAGCACTACAGGACCAGCCAAGACCCCACTTGCACTTGTGCACATGGATGTGGTGGGGCCCACAACAGCCCCTTCCCTCTCAGGCAGCCGCTATTTCTTGACAATTGTGGATGACCACACTCAGGCAGTGTGGGTTTACCCTTTGAAGAGCAAGGGGGAGGTGGCAGCGGCTGTCCTTAAGGAGTGGATGCCTAGAGCTCAGAGGGAATGCGGACACAAGGTGAAGGTGATCCGCAGTGATAATGGTGGGGAGTTCACTGGAGCTGATTTTGAGGGGGAGTTGAAGAGGAAGGGGATCCAACATCAACTGACAGTGCCCTACAACCCGCAGCAGAATGGCGTGGCTGAGAGGTTCAACAGGACCCTGCAAGAGGGGGCACGCACTCTCCTTGGGCGTGCAGGGCTGCCTGATCCCTTTTGGGTGTCTGCACTGAGGCAGGTCGCACTTGTGAAGAACAGGGTGCTGGCTACAGTTGGGGATAAGGAGTGGATCCCATATGTCAAGTGGTATGGGAGTGCTCCAGCTGTGAATATGCTGAGGGCATTTGGGTGCATGGTGGTGTTTCATGTGCCCAAGGAGAAAAGGGGGAAGTTGGAGGCTTCTGGAAGATGGGGTGTGCACTTGGGGATTGCAAAGGATCACAAGGGGTGGCTGCTATGGGATTTGACCACACAAAAGCTGACAGTGTCAAGAGATGTGAAGTTTCTTGAGTCCCTGTACTACAAGGAATGGAAGCAGCAGCAACAGAAGCTTCCATCTACACGGCTCATTGTTGAGGCAGATGAGGTGCAGCGGCCTTCAAGACAGGTGGAGGTTGCAGTGTCTGAGGAGGAGATGTCTTGGGTGACTGAGGAAGGGGGAGCAGCTGAAGTGGAGCAGCAACAACAGCAGCATGAGTCTCCACCTCGAGTTCCACACCTGCCTGAGCGACCTAGGAGGGATGTGCGCCCTCCAGTGAGGCTGACCTATGGGGGAAGAGGCAAGCCGAATGTTGTGCAGGCTGGGAGTGTGGTTGAGCAGATTGAGGAAGATGAGATCGCTCACTGCTACTGGGCACCAATCCCTGAGCCCAAGACTCGAGAGGAGGCCTTGAATGGACCAAATGGGGAGAACTGGAAGGCGAGTGAGGATGAGGAGTTCGGGTCTCTGATTGAGAATGAGACATGGGACCTGTGTGACTTGCCTCCTGGGAAGAAGGCAATCACTTCCAAGATGATCTACAGGCACAAGTATGGACCTGAAGGGGAGCTGACCCGCTACAAGTCTAGGCTTGTGGCACGGGGGTTTCAGCAGACAAAGGGGAAGGACTATGATGAGGTGTTTGCTCCTGTGGGGAAAGGAACAACACTGAGGGTGCTGTTGGCGATAGCTGCACTCCTGGGATGGAAGATACGGCAGATGGACATTGTGACTGCCTTTCTGAATGGGATCATTCTGGAGGAGGTGTACATCAAGCAGCCAGAGGGGCTGGATGATGGGAGCGGCAGGGTCTGTAGGCTGAAGAAGGCCATCTATGGCCTTAAGCAGGCGCCTCGTGCATGGTATCACAAGTTGGAGGAGGCGCTGTTGGCTGGGGGTTTCAAGACGAGTGAGTGTGATCCCAGCCTGTTCCTGCTGCAGGAGAAGGATGCAATCCTCATGCTTTTGGTGTATGTGGATGATATCCTTCTCTTTTCTGCATCAACTGCTTTGCTGGACAGCGCAGAGCAGGTGCTGGAGATGCAGTTCAAGTGTTCCAAGAAGGGTGTGCTGAGGTTGCACCAGAGGAAGTACTGTGAGGGGCTGGCTGAGAAGTATGGGCTGCAAGATGGGGGAAAGCCAGCAACACCGCTACCTTCGGGGTTCACTGTGGAGCCATGTGCTGATCAGGTGGTAGTGGGTGAGAGTGACAGGAAGCTGTTTCATTCGATGGTTGGGTCGCTGAATTATGCTGCAAATGATACACGGCCTGACATTGCATTTGCTATATCACGGTTGGCTAGTGTGGTCTCACGCCCTAGTCATGAGCAGCTGGAAGCGGCCAAGAGGTTGGTCCGCTATGTGACCGCTACGGCATCAGTGGGATTGGAGTACAGTGGAGTGAGGCAGCGGTTGCAAAAAGGTGCTGCAGATGTGAAAAGTGGTGAGATGCTCTTGAGTTGCTATACTGACGCTAGCTTCAACGCAGTGAAAGCGGATGGCACCAGCATTGGGGGTTATGTGTGCTTGCTAGGAGGTGGTGCTGTGAGCTGGCGCAGCAAGAAGCAGAATGAGGTGGGATTGTCCTCATGTGAGACTGAGTACATGGCCTTATACCATGGGGTCAAGAAAGTGGTGTGGCTGAGGCGCTTGTTGGAGGAGTTGGGAGTTGGTCAGGAGAAGCCGACAGTTGTGTTTTGTGACAATGAGTCTGCTGTGAAGCTCGCCAAGAATGCTTGTTTGCATGGGCTGACAAAACACATAAGGCCTAAGTGGCATTGGGTGAGGAGACTCCTTGATAAGGAGGTGCGGCTGGAGATAGTGAAGACCCATCAGCAAGCAGCAGATATTTTCACTAAGCGTCTGGCGGAGGCGGATCATTGGAAGGGCATGAAGCTTGCTGGGATGAGTGTGCATTGAGTATGCATGCTTGAGATGTTGGTATGGTGGATGATGGTTGGCAGCCAGAGGGGGGGATTGTTGTGTGATGTCATCATATGCTATCACATTCTGTCTGCCTCCCATCCCTTGTTTCAATTCGCATGTATGGTTTGATTGTGTGTGAAAGAATTTGTGTGGTGTGTGTTCTGGAGTTTGGGAATATGTTTTGTGTTATTCTGTCTGAGCAGGTATTTGTGATGATAGATCTTGAGAAGATCTTTCCGACGCAACAAGAATCGCTTCAATCGGAGCAAGAACGCGAAAGCTATGAAGATTCAAAGTTCATGAGCTTGCGTTACAATTGCGGCGGTTACAAAGTGAAGTTGTGGGGTGACTCTATATGGAATTGGGACCTTTGGGGTTGGGGAAATTTGTCACTCTACTGTAACAGCTGCAAATTGGTTGGGAACAACCAAGCTTGGTTGGCAAGGGTGGCCAACTTGGTTGGATTGGTTGGGAAGGGACAAATGTCAAAGTTGGGGTTCCTATAGGGAGGGAATCTTTGTGCTTATGGGGTTTCCTTGGTTGGGGACTCTCTTGGAACCTTCCCTCTCATCCCTCTCTTCCATCCCAACCTTTCTCTTGCTCCTATAATTCCTTGAGAGATTCTTGAACTTTGATTGAACTTTTGAGATTGAGTTAAGTTCTCCTCCTACAGCTTACCCCCTAATGCGTCGAAAGCCATAGCGTCGCGAATGCTTCATCAATCAACGTGATTCAAATTGGGAACAGTAGCCGAGATTAAGAGCTACAACATATCCAAGTTTCGCAACATTCTAACGGCTAGGTTTTTGTCAACAACGTTTCTTGTGAAGACGACTTTTCTGTCCAGAATTTCATATTTATATTTTGAGTAATTCTAGCTCCTAAACACACCTAGACTCCGTCCTTAATCCTAACACATATGGCATCTACGGTTAGGTCATCCATCTCATCGGATTTTGAATCATTCTATACGAGCATCAGTTCTTGATAATAACAGTTTACTCGTACCTGATGAAACAGAGATGGAGCCGTCATCCTGACCGATCGTCTGCACCATGTGTACCACGGCTAATCTTCCTTATGAACCATTTCCAAGTCACTTTCTAGGATCGATTGGCTACACGCTTATGCAGAAAGTCTGCAGCAACATCCTGAACTTACCTGAGACAGGGCCTAACGGGGAGCTCTATATGATCTCTTTTATCGAAGCTTCTATTTGCTATGTTTGGACTGTCAACATTCCAGCTCGCCATATGGCTCACTCTATCTTTATCGCATCACTCGTGGTCGCTGAAAGAGAATCGAAAGAGAAGCTTCAAGAATTTCAAAGTGATGGTGCAGGCGAGTATACCACTAACACCTTTACTGAGTATCTTCAAACCCTAGGTAGCAAACACTGAGGGTCTCTGCCACATCAACACCAACAGATGGGGGTAGCGGAGCGGATGAACAGAACGTTACAGGAGAAGATTAGGGTTTGCTGACTCGGCAGCCCTTCCACCGCATTTTTGGACATATGCCTTGGACCATGCAGTTCTTCTTTACAACTTTCTGTCCACAACGTCTCTTCCCCTATTTTCTTTGCCGCATCTGCAGTGGACAAAAACAGTTGGCAACACAAAACTTTTAGGAGTTTTTGGCTGCATCGTCCCATACCGGCCTCCAGCTGCAGCCCTTGGAATTTTTTCAGAACGGGCTAAGTGGGGTATTCATCTTAGCATCAAGAAGAAGTTTTATGCATGGAAAATTATCGTTCTTCGCACAAGTCAAATCGTACCAGCACGTGATTGTCTTTTCTACGAACGACTCACCTTACCTGTTTTTTGTGCTCACCAGGCAACAGCTGCCAATCCTGCCCGGCTATTCGAAGGCTCGTGTGCTTTCTTTATCGACGAAGCCGAAGCAGATGTACAGGATAAAGCAGTTGCTGAGTCTTCCGAAGCAGCCACAGACATCCCTATGCCAGCCACGATAGCTGAACTGCTGAATTTATTCCACTCAGCGAAGCCGACTCTGTGTGACACCTGACGAAACTGGGGGGAACAGGGGTCAGAAAACAAGTTCTCCGTTGTCAACTCCAATCGTCCTCGTATAACATAATCTGGGTTACAAGTATTGGGACTCGTAGTCACAATATAGTCGAACAACAGTAAGATTCTATAACCAAAAACAATTCGCCAAGCCTTGACCAGTCCACACAGGGAAAAATGGCGGAAAGCCATGGACAGGGAATTAGCGGCTCTGGAAACGCGAGGTACCTGGGATCTGATCCCACTAAAATAAGTCAAGGGGAGTAAGGTACTTACCGGCAAATGGGTTTTTCATGTGAAGACGAACGCTGATGGTTCCTTTGAAAATTTCAAGGCTCGATGGGTTGTACGCGGATTCGAGCAGACTTTTGGACTTGACTACGGGTGAACCTTCACTCCCATCGGCAAACACACTAGTGTTCGCATCTTACTCTGCGCCGCAACTTGCCGGAACTTCAGACATCGCCAAATCGACGTTGCCCAAGCATTTTTATATGCACCCGTCGACGCGTTAATTTTGGTTGAGTATCCGCATTATTACGAAACTAACCCTCCCAACGTCTACCGTCTACGAAAGTCACTCTACCGCCATAAACATACTCCATGCCTATGGCAGCAGTATCTCCACGTTCAGTTACTAACTGCTGAGTTTTGCCAGCTCCCGCACGACCAAAGAATGTATTTACTTTCCGACAGTCTTGACTACATCCTACTCATCGCTTACGTCAACGACTTACTCTACATTAGCACCACTGACTCCCTCGCTACTGCCTTCGAACACACACCTCAACAACATCTACAGATCTCCATCACACATATTGTCACCTTGTTTCTCAGCCTCTACATCCATCGTACACCAACTGCTATTCATCTTACCGCTTCCAAGTACGCTGCTACACTATCCGCATGTCTTAACCTCACACCTTCAACAGCCACCACACCTTACCGATCTCTGCCTACGGACTACAAACCCGATACCACTCCACTTGATAGCACTCAACTACAGCTCTATCAGCAGCAACTGGGTTGTCTTCTATTCACTGCCGTAACGTGTCGCCGAGCTTGCGCAATATTCGCAATTGGCTAGATCTTCTTCACGCTCTACTGTATTTCATTTCGACACCTGAAGTCGGAATTACCTATCAAGTCACCAATACGAAAACTCAATATTTCAATGGGTATGTCGATGCTGATCATGGAGCAGATACTTTTAATCGTCGATCTCGCACCGGCTTCATCTATCGTCTCGAACCTGTCGGGACTATCTCCTGGAATTCTACAAAGCAAGAGCTCATAGCTCTATCATCTGTTGAACTCGAGTTTATACAGTAGCTGCCTCCACAGCTACTCGTAAAGGTCTCTATCTATAAGAGCTACTGGAGGAAGCGAAATTGACAAGTACACAGTTCACCCTGCAGTACGACAATCAAAGTGCGATCAGAATTGCGCACCAATCCAATACTTCTTCGTCAATGATGAAGTTGAGAAGGGGAGAATGCAATTGGTCTACTGCTCAACCAATGAAATGGTTGCAGATTTTTTCACCAAGAAGCTGACACGTCAGAAGTTCCAATATTGCAACGAGCTCTGCGGACTTATCAAGAAGTGGCATTATCGGACTTCTAGAGTTGAAGGGAAATGTTGTGATAAATTTGTACTTCAGCATTTCTTTAAGTCGTTTCGATAGATATTGTCGAGTTATACTGTAGTTAGCATCGGTAGAATGACGTCAGCATTAGCACTCATCTAGATGATTACATCAGCAGGCCGTTTCAGTCATGCAAACAGAGCGCATAACGCAAATAGCTTTGAACAGGTAGATCACCGAACAGGTACTTCTAGCATATATAAAAGTAGCTTGTCTCTCTTCAATTGTCAACTTGTTCTTCAGTAAATTCTGGTCAACACTTACATATTCTAAGACTTTCACTGTCTTACTAGTCTACCATTCCAACAAAGATCCTTATTCAAGTCTTGAAGTATAACAAGGGTGTAACACTGATTCTGGTGTTACAATTTGTTAATACTAGCTGTTATTAGAGATACTTCCAATATTATTTTCTACTTCAAGTACTTGTGTCTGCAGATTCTATACTTTTTCTTATGCACCGTTTTACAATTTCTTACAGACTTCACACCTTGTATTGGAAATGTCTTAAATGACAAGGATAATATTAATATATCATAGAGACATTCTTATAGTCTAAATGTACCTGTACGTAGTGTAACACGACTATTCGCGTGACATGACTAGTGACTGTTTGTGTGACTGAGAGTGGCGTGACCCTTCGGGAGACTATATGCGAGGACCTACAGTTCACGCGTTGACTCGGTACTGCTGACGTTATCACCCGCGTCCTTCCATATCAGGTATCGCGCTACAAGTACAGTCTAGGTGTTATATCAGGAATGCATAAGTAAACTCTGTCGAGTATACATCAACACCTGTATCTGCGCCTTGACCCCATCTCGCTGGGCTTGAATTATGATGCGAATGCTTCGCCAATCCGGCAGGTGGAAGGCTGTGGTAAGAAACCTTAGGGGACTCGAACGCTATCGAATTTGCGTGAGCTAACAACTCTAGCTCACTGACAACCACTTTGCAGCCTTGCAGGGTTAACCATGCCTTGGAAATAAACTACATTGAGAAAGTGGGGTGAAAAAAAAACGTAGCTCTGACACCAGCTGTTATGAATAATAACTGAGAGTGCGGGGAATTATAATGACGAGTACAAGAATAGGAGCCTAACATTATACAGCGAGAGCCCTAGCTAGGCGACGACCCCGGAGGGCTGGGTTGGGTTCAGGCGCGGTCGAATGGGCTGGAAGCGGCGGGGTTGCGTCGGATTCGGACTGAGCCTGGTCTTCCGAGATTTCGGCTGTACGCGATGCAGTACAAACTGGTAAGGAATAAAAATCGTTACAAAATAACTCCACCGTATCTGAAAGGAATTACCATTCCTTACTAGGGCTCGCCACAGCGAGTACACACGAACCTTTCGGGTCCGCAGGCTCAGCCCTCAAGTCACGCGCCAAACCAGCCCTCGCCAACCTTGGCGGCCCCAACCTCATCCCGAGTCGCCCCGTCACCCTCGGGACGATCGAGCCCTTGACTGGTCCAACCCCGACATTCAACCCTGGTCAATCGCCCCATATATTGTCTAGGCATCATTTCTATCGTCATTTTGTAATCACGTTCCCCTACAGTATTCTGCGCTATACTCTGAGTTATAATTAATAACAGCTGGTATCAGAGCTGCGTTCTTGCCCATTAGGTTTCCGATAGGGGAGCAGATCCTATCGGGGAAGGGGGCAGAAGGATGCTGACGGCGAGCGAATGACACGGATATTAATTACACGGGCGTCTCCGATGCCGTCGGATCCTGTCCGATGGATGGCTGGGATTGACTGGTCCTCCCCTTCCCCGGTCGTAAACGAAATTATTTTCTGTCGAAGAGTGGGCGAAGTTTTCGCCGTGTTTTTCGGGTATGTTCGCTAGTGTTTCGTTATCTTTGGGAGTTTCTAACGAAGTGTTCGGATTGGCTTTGGAAAACAGCGAGGAGTCGTCAGGCGGCCGGGAGTCGGTCGTAAGGAGGCGACAAGTGCACGAGAGACCTCAGGCGGTCGGGAGTTGGTCGTCAGGAGCGTGCGGGGTGGCAAAAATGACGGGATGTACGGTGATGTACGTCTGGTGCGCGATGAAGCTGCAGGGTGAACTGTAGCTGTATCGCAGGTCCTGGCGTTTTCGGCTGGCTAGTTGCAGACGATGGACGGAACGTCAAAACTGTTTCGACAATGGGCGGATCCGACAATTTTGGAACGACACGATCGCACGAGGCACGTGTGGGTGTGCAGTTGTGTGGGAGCAGCTGGGATTAATGACCTCGGCGTTATTCACCACGACAGCCATCTGGAGGTGATGACGCTGTGCTGGAGTGAGAGTACTTAGCGAGGGCGACTTCCTGCGTGGAGAGGCATTTTTCGTGGACCAGCGATTTATACCCCCACGATAAACGAAAATGGAGGCCACCACCCTTGGGTGTGTATTAAGTGTTTTTCCACCGTCGCTGAAAGCGTTAATTGTCAGAAGCTGAAGCAGTGGAAGAAGAACGACGGGAGTACTGGAGCAGTTAAGGGTTAGTGGCGTTAGGGCTGCTGCTCGCTTAGCTATGTCGCCCAAAAATCGCCATCCCCACCAGGTAACAGTGTCGACTTATTGATCGACGGCTTTGGGTTGAATAAGGGGGGTGAACCTGCGAACTACACTGTGCTGACGGAGTGTCCCCAAAATTTAAGGCGTTACTGTTGCACCGGCGCTGAGGGTTTCACCTGGTGCAGTGGAAGAAGGTTCCGACTTTTGCGGGTGTAGTTTGACGAGTTTCCGACGGAGGAGGGAGCTGTCCATCGGTCAGTAGGCAAGCTCGTTAAAGCTCCTCTGACTAGAAGCGAGCGCACTCCTATCTCTGCGGATTCTCATAGTTAGTTAAGCAACAGCGAAGTGGTTTTGGGTAACCTGCAGAAGTCGCGAGATGGGTGAACGTTTGCACGGCCAGCTGGTTAGGTAACAGCTGGGCGGAGATCGACGGCGTATGATGCACATTAACACTGATCGACGGCAAAAACATCATGCGGAGGCGGTGGACTCCGATGTTCCCTAATATAAAGGGTCCAGTTCATACGTATAGCTAGTGGAGAAAACGTGGGGGAGCGGCTAAAGGATGCCGTAACGCCTGGGTGTTTTACGTGTAGATGTGAAGCATTGTTGCAGTTTTGGTTAAGTATCGATGGAGTTCCGACACTTTCGGTGGTTGTTGAGGAGAAGTTAAAAGGTTTACAGCTGGAGTTGTGCTCGCTATCTTCAGGGGTACGAGCGATATCGACTGATATTCTCAGAATATTTTGGGTGCATGGAGAAGGAGACGCGCACCAGCTGTTTCGTCTCTTCCCGAAAATTTCAGCGTGTACGGACAAAATAGTTGATGTAGCTGGCGTCAGTCAACTTTGGGTTTCGTTCGAGGGTTTTCACTGGAGTAGTTCAGTATATGTTACAATTCATCGCCATCGTCGTCTTCCTCTCGCCACCACCCGCTACCAACTCCATTCCTGATTCGCCCGACAGTATGAACATGACCCCGTCTTGCCATCCAAATCGACAACAGCAATATCGGATTTACAGAAATTTGGCGTCTGTACTGTTGGAGCTGTGTTGGACCAGCTCGCAAGCAGTGTTCCTACTCGTGCATAAATTTCAGTTCGTCTGGGAGTCTTCAGGAGCAGTTACTTCTGAGTTTCAAGACACTTGGAGCGGTTACCCTACAGAGGAATTTCAACTTTGGAGCATCTTTGGGATTTCTAGCGGTTGGAGTTTTGCAGCGGCAACTTCGAAGCTGAGTGTGAGACTTTTTCGCAGCAGCGTGGGATGGTTTCCACTACCCTGGAGCATTGGGTTTCCGGGAGTTTTACCTGAAAAATTGGGAGCTGTTTCTTATTGGAGAGGGGAGAAGTGTAGCTGTGCTGCAAATTTTCGTATGACCCTTCGACGTGTTTCATCATCCATCTTCGAGCAACATTCGTCACCGTTACGCTTCCGCACCTCATTTCGTCACTTCGTTGAAGGAGTTCGCTGACTTCGCAAGACACGGACGCATGCTCTCGCATGTGACTCGAACAACCTCACGTTTGATGAACGAGTTCTTCATTTCATCGACCATCACGTTATTCGCCAGTCATGATTTCCAGAGTTTCATCTGCCACGCGCCATCATCAATTAACAGCGTTACCGTCTACTGTCCAAGAGGAGTTTTCGCCAGTACCCGTTCGGTCAGCTGAATGATTTTACCATCTTCGACGGCTGAGATTAAAAGTGATTGTTTCGACGCTTTCTGACCATCGATTTCAGTTCGACCTCAAGACCTCGTCAAGCTGGCATAATCATTATGCTCGTCACAAGGCTGAAGACTTGCAATCATATCGGGGATTACTTTTAATGATTGTTCGGCCTCGATAAAGGGAGTGCTTTCCTTTAGAAGGTGGGAGGGTGTAAGGAATTACCATTCCTTGGGACATTCTGTAATCACGTTCCCCTATAGTATTCTGCGTTATACTCTTGAGTTATAATTCATAACAGTATCATTGTCGCTCTGCAACAGGGTAACCTGGCTGTAGCGAAGGTGCCTTGTGCATATGGATTGGTTGGGTGCCGCCGAGGTTGCACGACCTGGTGTCCAATCGAAGAGAGGGGCACGCTTACCGCGTCTGCTAGGCGGCCTGGCCAACGGACCAGCATCAGCGGAACAGATTCATGCGCAAACACGACCATATCTGCGTAACGTTTTCTCGCGCAGGCCGTGACCGCGCAACTGTACCGCCCGGCGCCCTTAGACCATGACTGCAGTGAAGCTGGTTGAACTTCGAGGAAGGGTGGGCAAAAACCAGAAGAAAGCCCCGATGCCGTGTGCGCCACGTGAATGCATCGCGGATACCGCTCCCTACGCGGCGAGGATGGCGTTTACTTGGACGTGCGCCCGCTTTCTCTTAGAAGCCAAGCTTCTTGACAACTGGCGACAGCAGCCGCTTACGGCCATTAACTCTGGTTTACCGCCGCTTCCACACTCGCTAGAACCCCTTCCCCCGATATACGATACCCGGTCCAACCCCGAGTTCGGCGCTGGCTTCTCAGTTTGACCAAGTGCACGCGCAGGCTCGAGGCGCATTGCGGCAGTCTCACAGCAACACAAATCGCCTCGCGAGCATCCGTTCTACCAGCCGCTCTCCGCGCTTGAGACGGCCATGGGACCAACCCAGGTGAGGTGTGCGACACAGGCGACACATGCGAGGTGTAGGAGCTATTGCGACACTCTATATCGAGGCGTCACGACGCTCAGAGGCAACCGAGATGGAGGAAGCGGATATGAGCAATGCGGCATGTGAGGGGGGGACAGATGGAAGCAGTATCCTACTGCCTATACGCTGAGCGTATAGCTGATGGCCGGCACATAACACAAATGCACCGGCGCTGCCTCCCCCCTGGCCGATTCGCACCCCCCCTGCCCCTCTCGGCCATTTTCTGCCCCTCTTCCCTCTCAAACCATCCTCTTCCTCTCTCTCACCGCTCTGACCGCTCCTCCCTTCTTCCCCGCGCCACCACCCTCGGCCGATTGCATCTCATGTCAACCGGAACACTCGCTTCATCCCCCCTCGCTCCCTTCGCCCTCGCTCCCCGTCGCACTCTCCAACGCCCCACCGCCACGCCCACCGCCTGCTCACCATGCACCGCCTGCTCGCCATGCACCGCCTGCTCGCCATGCACCGCCTGCTCGCCATGCACCGCCTGCTCGCCATGCACCGCCTGCTCGCCATGCACCGCCTGCTCGCCATGCACCGCCTGCTCGCCATGCACCGCCTGCTCGCCATGCACCGCCTGCTCGCCATGCACCGCCTGCTCGCCATGCACCGCCTGCTCACCATGCACTGCTTGGACAAACTGATGCTCACTGCACGCCGCACCGCACCGATGGCCGCTCACGACGCACCCTTTTTGAGTCGACTGGAAACTCAAAAGTGCCAGTCCACGTTCCCTCCCTCCCCCTCTTCCTCTCTCCCCGCCCCACCACCTGTCCGCCAATCAGGAGCGCGCGAGTGCGATCCGCAGGGCTCTTGTTTCTTCTGTCGGTCCGTGTCGGCTCCCTACCACCACACTCCACACCTCTCCCCCTGCCCCACAACCACACGTATGCAGTCGCAAGGCGAATGTCAACGTGAATATGCCTTCTCTTCTCCGTGCTTCCCTCTCGCTTCCCTCACCACTTTCTCATCTTACAGGAGTATGGCAACGAGGACGATGCGCTTAAGGCTGCTGACGTGGTGCTGGAGAACTTGGCAAGGCAGGTGAGATGACGTGGCAAGCTGGGTGGGATGACATGGCTTGACGTGGCAATGCGAGTACAGATAATGAATTGGGCAGTTTCTTGATTAGAGCGACTTCGTTAAGAGGGATGGGTAGTTGCTGAGTCAGTGCGCCAAGGCATGAGCATGCATCATTGAGAGCGGCACGCCTACCCTCTTCCCCAGCCCCCTTCCTCGTTCCCTTGCCTCCCTCCTTCCGCCTCAGCATTGCTCCCCACCACACTGAGCCCCCACCATCCCCTCCCTTGCCCAAAGGTGGATGTGGGCGCACTGGGGAGGGCGCATGGGGAGGGCGCACTGGGGAGGGCGCATGGGGAGGGCGCATGGGGAGGGCGCATGGGGAGGTTCCAACGAGTGCGTGGGCGCAACGGTTTCTAAGTCGACTCAATTATTGGAGGAGGGCCGTAAGCATGGGGCACAGCTGTGCCTGGGCCCTAGTGCACTCACTTTCTCAAAGCCCCCCCTTGGCGTCGGCAGGTGGAGGAGCGCATCAAGGAGGGCCCCAAGAGCGACTTAGAGCCCTACTTGGCAACCATAGCTCGCCTGCACGATGGAGTGGCGTTCTTTGAGGCGCTTCGCGAGGTCAAGAGCGTGCAGGCGGAGTGCCTGGCCCTGGCGCACTCCAAGAGGCTTCTGGAGGAGGCGAGGCCCCGGCTGGAGGGCGAGCTGAGGCAGCAGCTGCTGCAGTTCACGTGAGCGAGGAGGGGGGGGGGGGAGGAGGGGGAGGGGGAGAGAAGGGAGAGGGACAGGGGGCGGGGGCGGACCGCTTGAAGGACAGGGAGAGGGGGCGGTAGAGAGGGGGAAGGAGAGAGAAAGGTGGGAGAAGAGAGAGGTGGAGAGGGAAAAGGGGGGAGGGAAGCTGATGGGACAGAAGGGAGGTACGAGGCTTATTGCCTTTCAATTGACTTCATTCATTCCATCCAACCCAGCTCCCCCTTTCCCCAACGCCCCTTCCCCTCTCTCCCTCACCCTCTTCCCCTCCCCCCCCCCCCTCTCCCAGCAAGGAGACTGAGGAAGAGGGGGGCGCGGGGGAGAGGGAGGGCGAGGGGCTGCCGGTGCTGCTGGCGGACGGCGAGGCAGGGGAGAGGATCCGGGGGGTGGCAGAGGCGCTCATCAGGATGGGGCGGGCCGACAACTGCCGCAAGATCTACACGTGAGTCGGGCTTTGAGAAGCGGGCGAGGGAGGGGGAAAATGCGCAAGGGGGAAAGAGGGGTTTTGTGCTGCCAGTGCCTCCCACCAGGCCATGCAATGCACCTCGCCTCCGCTCTTTCCCCTCTCCGCTTGTCTCCCCATGCCCCCATCCCCCCCTGATTCCCTCGCCACTCTCTTCTATCCCCCCTCTTCTCTGTTCCCCTTTTCCTCTCACATTTTCCCCCATTCTTTCCAAATTCCTCCCTTCCTCTTTCTCTCCCCTCCGTCCCTCGTGCAGTGAGGTGCGCAGCAGCATGGTGGAGGCGGGGCTCAGGCGCATGGCGGCGGGGAGGCTGACAAGGGAGGAGGAGGTGGGCGGCATGGTATGGGAGGAGCTGTCGGACTGCATCGAGGGGTGGCGCAGGCAGACCCGGCGAGCGGTGAGTGCAGGGGTTGAGCGGAGAGTGCGGCTGGGGTGATGGGACCGGGCTGTTGGTGAGTCTAGGGTCAACTGTAAATGCATTTGAGGGCCAGTGTCAGCAGACCAGACAAGTGACGGACAGGGGCACGTGAGGGCGAGAGAGATAAGGTTAACAGGCTGTTGCAGCCATTGGTTTCAACAGCCAAGCGGATTTCCGAGCCCGTCCTGGCGCTCCTCGCACTCCTCCTCCTCTCCCACTCCCCCCCCCCCCCTCCCTCTCTTTCATTCATTGCAGGTGCACGTTGTCTTCATGGTCCTGCAGGGCTGGACCAGCACACGGTCCTCCCATTCACACTGGAACCCCCCTCCCCACCCTCCCCCTTCATTCAACCCAGGTGCGCGTGGTGCTGGTGGCAGAGAGGCAGCTCTGTGAGGCGGTGCTGCAGGGGCTGGAGCCCCACACGGGGCAGGCGTTTGCGGACCTGGCGGGGGCAACGCTGGGCATGCTGTTGGGCTTCGGGGAAGCTGTGGCACGAAGCAGCAAGCCCCCCGAGAAGGTGCCGGCGCTGATGGACATGTATGAGACCATGAGGGACCTCATGCCGCAGGTGAGACCCCTCATGCCGCAGGTGAGACCCCTCATGCCGCAGGTGAGACCGCTCATGCCGCAGGTGAGACCGCTCATGCCGCAGGTGAGACCGCTCATGCCGCAGGTGAGACCGCTCATGCCGCAGGTGAGACCGCTCATGCTGCAGGTGAGACTGCTCATGCCGCAGGTGAGACCGCTCATGCCGCAGGTGAGACTGCTCATGCTGCAGGTGAGACCGCTCATGCCGCAGGTGAGACCGCTCATGCCGCAGGTGAGACCGCTCATGCCATGAGTGCACCTCTGAATGCCACCGGTGCACATTTCAAGGAGGCACCACCAAGTCCCCGGAGAAGGCGTCAGTGCTGATGCCCATGTGAGGTGCTGATGCCCATGTGAGGTGCTGATGCCCATGTGAGGTGCTGATGGGCATGTGAGGTGCTGATGGGCATGTGAGGTGCTGATGGGCATGTGAGGTACGAGACCATGTGCCCACTGCATGCCGCAGGTGGCGTTGGGTTTAGAGTCCAGCGCGCACCACGTGCTGCACCCATCAGCTGCAGCAACGCCTGGCGGCGGCCGCCAAGGACGCGTTCAGCAACCTTGGCAACCCTCCTCCCCTTCCCATACGCCCCCCCCCCCTCCCCTTCTCATACCCCCCCCTCCTCCCCTCCCACCCTGCCGACCATCCTAGATGGAGGTGGTGTTGGGCGGCGCGGCGTGCGCGGCCATCAGGGCCAACGCGCAGCAGCTGCTGCAGCACCTGGCGGCGGCGGCGAAGGAGGCGTTCAGCAACTTCGAGCTGGCGGTGGAGAGTGAGGAGAGCAGCAAGATGCCGCCCGACGGGGCCGCTCATACACTTACGATCTACGTGGTGAATTACCTCAGGTTTCTCTACGAGTACGTGGCTTCAATCCTTGTGTCCTTCGGTAAGTGTGTGCGTAGCTGCCTCGTGAAGTCTCCTGAGCTGCTGTGGATAAGCAGGTGAAGAAGCCTTGAGCAGCGTGGAGGGGGCAGTCGAGTGTGAGGTGACGACAGCATCATCATGCCACCCGACGAGCCGACCCGCGGGCTCACCAGATGGTCGTGGGTTACCTGCAATACCACAGCGATTACGTTTGTGTGTATGAGTGTGCACGGGTGTGCGTCACATGTGTTAGAGCGCCCTTTGGGGCGAGAGCGCCCTTTCCACGTGGCCAGTGGTCCTTTGCTGCGCTCCTTCCCTCTCCCCATTGCAGCCCTCAGCTTCCAGGAGCCCATGGAATTGAACCTCTCTTCCTCTGCCCTCTCCCTCTCTCTCTCCCTCTCCCTCTCAGCAGCTACCAAGCCACCATGCAGGCGCTGATCAGCCACGAGCACCCTTCAGCGGGCCCCCATGCGCATCTTTGCTAACTGCATGCCCTCCCTTCCACTGCTCTCCCCCCCTCGTGCTCTCTCCCCCCTGTGCTATCTCCCCCTCGTGCTGTCTCCCCCTTGTGCTCTCTCCCCCTCGTGCTGTCTCCCCCTTGTGCTCTCTTCCCCTCGTACTGTCTCCCCCTTGTGCTCTCTCCCCCTCGTGCTGTCTCCCCCTTGTCCTGTCTGCCCCTCGTGCTGTCTCCCCCTCGTGCTGCCTCCCCCTCGTGCTGCCTCCCCCTCGTGCTGTCTGCCTCTCCTCCCATCCCTCAGCTACCAGGCCAGCATGCAGGAGCTGTCCACCCGCTGCGTGTGTTCACCACTGCATGTGTTCACCGCTGCACGTGTTCACCGCTGCATGCATTCAGCAGGCCCCCGACCCCTCTTGTGCTGCCTGCCCCTCAGGTACAAGGCCACCATGCAAGAGCTGTTCAGCCGAGATAACTTCTTCTCCGAGGCCACCACATGCATCTTCGCCGCGCTGCACGCCAACCTGGAGCGCAAGAGCCAGCTGTACCGTGACGCTGCGCTGACTCCGCTATTCCTCATGAACAACGTGCATCGTATCGTGGACTGCGTGCAAAAGTAAGGGGGACGAAAGGGAGGTGGCGGGAGCATGGTGTGGTAGGAGAGTGAAAGAGGAGCCACGGGTGCATGGTGCAAGCTGTAGCGCGACGCTCGTCTGATGCAGCTCTTCCTCACAAGCAGCGTGAGGAACGTGAGGAACGTGCATCATGCACGCTGGCAGGAAGTGAGGAAGAGGAAAGAGAGGAGAGTGGGGGGAGATGCGGGTGTGGTGGAGAGTAGGGAGTGAGCCCTCAGGTACATGGTGCAGGCTTTCAATTGATGCTGCTCTCACGCTGCTCTTTCTTCCTGCTTTCAGGAAGAAAGAGGAAGGGAAGGAGGTGGGGGGACAGGAGGGGTTGTAGGCGTAAGGCTCCTGGCGTAAGGCTCCGCTCTTTCTCCCTCCCCCTCCCCCTTCCCACAGGACCGAGCTGAAGGAGGTGCTGGGGGAGGACTGGATCGAGCAGCAGCGGTGCATGGTGCAACAGCATGCCGCGTCGTACCAGCGGACGTCGTGGAACAAGGTGGGCGGAGGGGGGGTGGGGGGTGGAGGGTTGGTACATGATGCATGGCGCATGGTGCGCGGTGCAAGGTGCGTGGTGTATGAGGCATGGTGCATGGTGCAGGGTGCAGGGTGCCGGCCAACCCACCTTGTTCATATCCACGCCTCTCGCAGCCCTCCCCTTGCATACTCAGGGTAGCAACCAACACGTGGACGGATGGCAGTAAAAAAAACCCCAGAAATCCGCAAAACGGAGCGCTCGCAAATCTTCCTTGCACCTCGCCTCTTCTACCAACCTAACCGCAACCCCCTCCACCTAGATAGGAACAGATACAGTCGTGGCAGGCCCTCCCCTCCACCTCTCCTCCGCTACATCTGTGGCCACTCCTCACTTCCCCCTTCTCTTGCTTGCCCTACCCCCCCAACCCCACTTCCCACCCCCCCCAACCTTCACCCACCCTGCCCCTCTCTGTACTGCTCACCAGATTTTCGGCCTCCTGGCAGCACAGGACGGCAAGGAGGGCAGTTTGAGCCGTGGCGCAGTCAAAGAGAGGTAAGTGGCAGGGTTTGCTTTTGGGGGCGGAGGAGAGAAATAGGAGGAGGGGGAAGAGGTGGGGAGGAGTGGGGTCACGGGGTGGAGGATTGGGGACGGGCTGGGTTTGGAGTATTGTCCGAAGGAGAGGTGAGGTGCTGGGAAGAGGAACGGCGGCAAGGAGGATTGCTTCTTGCTGTGCTCCCAACCCGACCACCCCCTCCCAGGTTTCGAGTCTTCAGCGCCAACTTTGAGGAGGTCCACCGCTCGCAGTGCGTGTGGAAGATAGCTGCCTCATGCCTTCACTCCCTCCTCTCTCCCTCCTTTCCTCACCCACCCCGCCACCCATCCCCCCTCCCAGCTTCCGCATGCTGAACGCCACCTTTGTGGTACCGCACACAGTGCCTGTGAAAGATCGCTGTTTCATGCCATCCCTCCCTCCTCTCCTCTCCTCCCCTTCGTTTTCCTCCTCCCCGTCCTCCCAGGTTCTGTGTGTTCAACGCCACCTTTGAGGAGCTGCACCGCTCGCAATGCGTGTGGAAGATCCCCGACCCCGAGCTGCGGTCCGCCGTGCAGCTGCAGATCGCCGAGGTGCTGCTGCCCGCCTACCGCTCCTTCGTGCAGCGCTATACGTGAGTGAGCGTGCTGAGGCTGCTGCAGCCCATGTGCACCACACGAGCACCCGCATGCTAGGTTTAAAAAAACGCTGTTTTTTTCAAAATTGCCCCGCATAAAACTGTACCGAAATAAACGGCCATATAATACGAAAAAACGGTGAAAATGGTGTTTTTTGTGTTGGCTAAAAAAAAGGGCCGAAATTTTCAAAACAAATTGTGCAATAAAATCCGACAAAATGTGTGGACCTGGCATTCCGCCTGCCGAAATGCACGGACCTGGCATTTTGCCCGCCAAAATGTGCCAGATCTTGCGTTTTTAGCAGACGAAATGCTCGGATCTGGCGTTTTGTCAGCCGGAATGCGCACATCTGGCATTTTGCCTGTAAAATTGCGCGGATCTCGCATTTGGGCGGACAAAATGCGTGGATCTGGTGGACGAGTAGGCTGACTACCCAAAAAAGGGAGAAAAAATGTTTGAGATGTTCTATTTAAAAAAAAGGCTTTTTTTCCCAAAATCCCTGGAAAAATGGTCGAACAATACGGACCGTATTGTTCAAAATCTGTATTTTGTTACCTTGGATGCACTGTGTTTCCACGCCTGTGCCACATTGTGTGGATGTGCGACCTTTGTGTGCCCCTGTGTGTGTTGTGGAAATCTTTGTTTGGGGTAACTGCTTCGGCTTTTCCAAGCTGTATGAGTATTGCATGTGTTGTTGCAGGGACGCACGCTGAGACCTCTTGAGACCTTCCTTATACCATTTAGGTTTGCGTTCAGTTGCCCACTCTATGCCCTCTCCATTACAATCCAAAGCTTTCGAACCTGGTTTCTCGTCTACCTGGTCTCTCATGTGGATGCGCGCGCATGCATTCACATGCACACACACTAGTTTGCTTCACATGCACACACACTAGTTTGCTTCACATGCACACACACTAGTTTGCTTCATTCCCTTCCGACTCAACAACCAACCAGTTCATTGAGCTTATCACCTCCATCCCACCCCACCCTCTCTGTCCCATCCCCTCCCTTCTCTCCCCCCCTCATCCCCCCTCACCTCCCCTCTCTCTTTCAGCCCTGTGCTGGAGAGCGGCGGTCTCTTTGGCCGCAGCAGCGAGGCGGCCTCTAAGTATATTCGCTTCAGCAACGAGAGCCTCGACTCGCTCTTGAAGGAGTTCTTCCAGGGCAGGGAGAGCTGCAACATCCTCCTCACGCAGGCCTCTGCTGATTGTTAGACACAGAGGAGTACCATAACTTGGGTCTTTATCAGACAAGTTTTGTCTGTTTGTCTGGTTTTCAGAGACGCGAAGGGGCGAGATAAGTGTCGAAGGTTGTTCGAAGGAAACATACCGTAATCTCCCGGCAATAGGACCCTAGGTCAAGGAAAATCGTCTGGGTGGACATCAAAATGGAAGGTGCTTTTTAAGCCCCATGTTCATTTATATATTACCGTAATCCCCCGTATAAAGCACCCTATGCTGTTAATAAAAATGCAGCAAAATTTTGGGCTGGGTGTAATTAAAGGCCAAAAAAGTAAAACACCCAGGAGTTATGGAATGTGCGTATGCTTTTTTTAATTGGAATTCAAGTGTGCCTGTTTCACCACATTCATTTGAGTCAGATACTCACTTTTGGTCATTCATTGCATACTGGACATTAGCAGTGAGCATGCAGTGTCAGGGAGGATGCTGTCATAACAACCAATGAGCAGGCCTGACGTTTCAAAAAACCCCCCCCTGAGCTGTTTGTTAAAATTATATAAGTTATAATTTAATATAGGCTTGGTAGGTTGTTACTGAACCTTTGTGTAGAGGGTACAATCCCCTCCTTGTACTGCTCTCTCTTCCTAATCCAATCTCTTCTTTCTCGTCAACTTTTCTCCTCACGTTCCTAGATCTACTTTCCTCACGCCATTCCATGGCGGCCTTCCTAGTATCCTAGCCTAGCTAGTGTCCTAACTTTAGGGACCTAGCCTCCTAAGTTCCTGAGACTGTCGACTAAAAAAAAAAAATTACCCTGAGGGCTCAGTTTTCAAAAAAAGCCTACCCTGATTTGTAAGTGTTCAGAAATCTGGAACCCTGAAAATCCCAGGGTTCACCAAATGCGTTCAGGGTCGCCTTCAACATGAGGGGGGAATTAAAAATGGGGGGAAAAACGGGAGGGAATCAAACCGAAGGGAGGGGGAGAGCGAAACGGAGGGGAAGGGGGAGTATGGAAACATAGGGGAAGAGAGGAAGCGAAACGGGGAGGGAAAAGGGGGGGGGGGGGGGGGGGGGTGTTGGTCGAAATACAGGAGTGAGGAATGGGAGAAGCGAAACGGAGGGGAAGGGGGTGTCGAAACGGAGGGGAGGGGGGAAGCGAAAACGAGGGGGGGGGGGATCGAGGCGAATGGGGCAGTGGCAGAAACCTCCCGCGCTTGCAGCGCTATGGGCGAATTGAGTACGTTAATCATGCGCGATCATCTAACGGCTGAAATTTGTCGAAATGTTTGCGATTGATTGTGGCCGTCGAAGTTTAATTGACTTTCAGTGACCACACGGGCAATAACAAATGTGAATTTCTTTTTGTGCTATCACTGCCTATCAAGACTTAGCTAACTTTTGTGGGTTGTTAGTTAGGTGTGCCCCCGCCCAAAATCGCCGCCCTCCGCAATTCCCTCCCCCAAATCTCTCCCCACACCTCTCAAAGCCCGGTACATTCGAGAACTGCCTTGCTGGAAGCCGGGGTTATGTTTGGCCCGGCTCTGGTTTCACACGGTTTTTTCCAGATGGTCCCAAATCGTCTGAGCTAGCAAAAAAACTAGCTCAGGTTGCGCAAATCTGAGCCGTTAATGGCTGACCAATGATGAACCGCTGAGAAACGTCGAAACGATCGCGTTCGATCGTGACCGTCACAATTTGGTGGATTTTCTTGGGGGAACTGGGGGCCTGGGGGAAATTCCGAAATGAACCAATGCTGCTTGAAACCATCAGTTTGGCTAAACTGAGCGGGGAGGCGAAACGGAGAGGGCACGAGGATCAAAACGGAGGTGAGCGGGGGATCGACATCGAGAGGGATGTCTGCAAGAGTGTGGGAGGGGGGATGTCTGTCTGTACAACAGGACTTTGACAATTTTTTGTTGAGGAGAGTGCTACTCTGGCTACTAGGACTTAGCCGATTATTTGTGGGTTGTTGCGGGTGTAAGGGGGGGGAATGTCTACCATAGGACTTAGCCGATATTTGTCAATTTTTGTGGGGTGTGTAGGGGGAATGTCTGTACAATTAGGACTTGGCCAAGTTTTGTAGGTTGCTGTGTGTGTGGGGGTAATGTTTCTAGAGATTGGGGACATCGCCGAAATTTCAGGTCTGTGGGGCATATGGAATCGCATTCAGGGTTCGTACGCGTTGCTCTCTGAAAACTCAGTATTGGCATAACGCAATCCCTGAAATCCCAAGTGTTCAGAAACTTACAACCCTGAAGGGGCTAGGGTTAAGAGTTGGCCCAAAAAATACCCTGTGAAATCAGGGAATCAGGGTAAAATACCCTGATAACAACAGCCCTGCCAATGAGCACACGTTAAATTTGGCGGGACGCGCGAAAGTCGAGTACAGTCTCAAACTTTCGGGTTTCAATCAGGGCCTATTTTTCAAGGGTAATTACCTGGAATGAAAAAACATTAAGAGTTGGCGCTGGGCTCGTTCCGGAATTTGAACGGGTCAAGTTATCGGGGTTTCCGGAATTTATAGAAGTGGCGTTACGGGGGGCTCCGGGCAGATCAGAATTCGCTGGGGGGGCAATCCGGCTGCAACTGCCAATAAATACAACCCCCCCCCCCTCCCCTTCCCCCCTCCTCGCACCCAGGGTGGCAGAGACATTTTACAGTTAAGTCCCCAGCTTTCAGAAACTATCGCACGGAGCCCCCGAACCCAGGAAATTTGGCTAAGTCCCTCACACACAGTTATAACTCCTCCCACACCCGCACAACTCAGAAAATTTGGCTAAGTCCCCAACTTCCAGCAGCATTCCTTCCTTAACCCCGCAACCAAGCAAAAATGGCGAAGTCCCCCACACACAGACATACCGTACTCCTCTCACCCGCACCACCCGAAACCCAGAATTTTCGGCTAAGTTTGTCACAGCCAGGAACATTCCTTCCTGGACCATAGAGGAATTCGGCTAAGTCCCTCCCAAATAGAGATAGGCCTCCTACCCACACCCACAAAACTTATAAATTTCGGCTAGTCTTCATTGCAGGAACATTCTTGCCTTTACCCTAAAACATAGAGAATTTGGCTAAGTTTCCCTTACACCTAGAGAGTTTTGCACAGAGAGACTCCTCCCACCCGGGCCACCCTAAACCTAGAATATTTGGTGTCCCTCACAGACTGGCAAATTCCTCCTACAGCCCCGCACGCCTACGCAGCTAGGAAGACTTGGCTAAAAACGTTTAGCCACGTTCCCCTCTTTCCCTTTCTCGCAACCCAGAAAGTTGTGAAGGTTGCTGACACAGATTCTACTCTACTTTAGCGGGTTTGTCAGAAAACTGGCGGAAGAAATTAACACTCTTAACGTAGCAAATCCAAAAGTACTTTATTTTTTCTGGCATGCGGCAAATGTTACCCTGTTTTGACCTTGACATGTCCGAGTCAACGTTTGCTGTAACTCAGCTAAAAGTAACTTTGTACCCGAATCTGGATGAAACAGAAATCAACTACCCTGAAATCCAGACGAATCAGGGTGCAAGGGGGTGGGGAATCCGGGAGAAACAGAGCTCCAAAAAAGCTTAGCGTGAGCCCTGGTTTCAATGTTCTCGTCGATTTTGTTTTCGTTCAGGCAGATTTGTCTCCTACCTAAGAGGATGTTTCTACGAGCCTCTTCCCAGGGAACACTCCCAGACTCGCGAGCTACAGTGTCGCGAATTTCTGACGCGAAATGTTTCAGTGCTGTTCCGTAAGGAGCAACGTCAAGTTCAGCCTGCCGAGATTCATGGGCATGTTTCAAAACCTCTGTTCAGGCGACATTGTTTCCAACACGCGGGAATCTGTACAGTAAATTTTCGGCGCGAGCATTTTTTTTTTTGCGATTGAGCCGCGGAACGACGCAACACGAAATTCTGGCGTTTCCTACTAGAAATGGAGATTCTAGTGGCAGGGGGGTGTTCAAAAGTTTTCACGTCCGAGAGTAGGGTGTTGTGTATATCCAGAAAAATTACACACCCATACCCGCTCAAGCTACCCGGGGGAGCTTAATTCCGGCGGGTGTTTTATACGGGGGAATACGGTACGTAAGGAGCCTAGTTTTCATACATGTAGCATATGTTTTCGGGTCTTTGCGTTGGGGTCCTACTATGGAGAATAGACTCCAAAAGGTCACGTGCCAGATTTTGTAATGGTCCTACCAGTACTCAGGGCTGATTTTATCAGACTGTTTAGTATGAAATTTCAGACCCTTTTTTTGGCCAAACCTGAATTTCCAGATAACCCATTTTCCCAATCCTGATCCCTTCAGAGTAAGATTCTAGGGATCTTGAGAAAATCAGAGTTGTCGCTAACCCAGTACTGAGTTTCCAGAGCACAGCGCGTACAGACCCTGACTCATCATGTAGAGTACCAACCTTCAAAAATTTTTATGAAGTCCCCAATCGCTAGAGACATGCCCCACACACCCCACAACCCCTAAAAATTGTCGGCCAAGTCCCCGAACCCTAGAGACAACCCCCACCCCACACCCCACAACCCATCTAAAATTTCGGCGAAGTCCCGGAACGCTAGAGACATCCCTCACATAGGCCACAACCCATTGAAAATTTTGACTAAGTCATATTGTCAGATACAGTCCCCCCCAACACCCGGAACAACCCAGAAGTTTTGAAAGAGACTTTCACATTAAAAAAAATAAAATTTAACTGCATTGGAATGCGAGTAAATTCCGCATTCTAAACATAGGGAAATTCTTGCCAGTTGCCCGTTTGGTCAACTGAAAGTCTAACAAAATGTAATGGTCACGATCGATTGCGATCGTTTCGACATATATCAATCGTTCGATGGAAGGTAGCGATTAACGTCCAAGATTTCCCAACCGGGGTGCTGCAAGGGCGCGAAATTTCTCCCACCGCCCTATGCCCTAGATTCCCCCCTCCCTACCATTTCGATTCCCCCCTTCCCCTCCATTTTCGATTCCCCCCTCCCCTCTGTTTCGCTTCCCCCCTCTCCTCCGTTTCGATCACTTCCCCCTTCCCCTCCGTTTTGCTTCCCCCCTCCCCTCCGTTTCGTTCACTTCCCCCTTCCCCTCCGTTTCGCTTCCCCCCTCCTCTCTGTTTCGACCCCCGCCCCCCTTCTCCCCCCCCTCCCCTCCGTTTCGCTTCCCCCCTCCCCTCCATTTTGATTCCCTCCCCATTTCCCTGTCGGTTTCGATTCCCCCTCCCCTCAGTTTCGATTTCCGTGGCAGTGCAATTTTACCCCCTTGGTTTTTAGGAATGGCTTCACTGTTTCCCACATCTAACAACTACGCAAAACGAGGGTAG